GGGGAAGAGAAGGAGGGTGTGTTCTGGGGGGGCGGGGTTGGGAAGGGACAAAAGAAGGAGACTGGAGACCCTCAGGAGCCCACCAGCTGCGTCCAGGCCCAGGAGCTTCTCTGTCCGGTTGGCTCTGGATTGCACACCTCTCCACCACCACCCCTTGTTTGTCTCAAAGCCCCTCTGCTGTGCTTGCTTGGTCCTCTCAAGGCACTCTTGGTTTCTGGCAGCTCTTCCTCCCATCAGTGCCCCCCCCCCGAAGCTCCTCTCGTTGTGCCTGTTATCAACAGCCCTTCCCAAGTAGGAAGTCTGTGCCCCCAAAGTTCGTCACACTCCCAGCAACCCTGCACGGTGGTGGTAGGCAAACACTCAGCCTGGCAGGTAGCAAACCGAGGTGGGGAGAAACCCTAGGAGACCCTCTTCAATGGGCAGGAAATGAACGTGAAGATGGGAGATGGGAGAGGCAGCCTTCCAGTGCTCTGCCCATGCTCTAGGGACAGACGAGGAGCCGCTGGCCTGCCACCGAGATGCCCCTCCCACTCACATGAAAGGATATCTCCTTGACTTATCCCTGGAACAGCCCAAGGAAATGCAGTGGGGGGCGAGGGTCCTGCCCTGTCCTTCCCAGAAGAAAGGCGGGGCCTCCCACCTTGAGCAGAGTGTTGATGGACTGCCTTGCTGGGGTGCGTGTGCGTGAGCAAGTGGGCGAGTGTGCACGTGCACATGTGCGCACATGCCGTCGGGCAGCCTGAATGTGTGCTCCTCATTACGGCCCGAGTGAAGCCCACGGGCACCCTGCCTGCACAAAATGGAATGATGATGGGTTAGCCGCAGCCTGGATGGAAACTCTGAGCGCGGCTGCTCGTCACACCGTTTTGTGGCTGCAGGGGCTGCGAGCTGCCAAACCCGGCTCTGGATGCAGCCCCGAACCCTAGACTCTGGCGGAGGGCCAGGGCGGCGGAGGCCGAGACTGCCGGCAGCCCATTCACGGCCGGCCAGGCCAGAGCTGCCGGTCAGGGCCTGTCTTGACCCACTGGGGCCGCCCAGGCAGGAGCCAGGGCCCCGGAGCTGTTGGGCCACCAGCCGCAGCCCCGCAGGCGGAGAGAACCCAGTCCCTACGGGAGGGGGGGGGAGGCCCTGGTGCAGAGAAGCTGGCAGAGGAGGGGTTCCCCCGCAGGCGGAGAGAACCCAGTCCCTACAGGGGGGAGGGGGGGAGGCCCTGGCGCAGAGAAGCTGGCAGAGGAGGGGTTCCTCCCCATCCAGGCCCCCACTCTTGCCGGGGGAGGGCGGCACGGCTCTTCCACGCAGACTGGCGCCACCATCACAGGTGTGGGCTGGATGTGCCCGAAGCATCTCCGCTCCTTTGCTGGCCGTGGCCCCCACCTCCCGGGTCACCAGTCGCTCAGGCCTTTCCATCCCTGCAGTGCCCTGGCAACTCGGACAAGGGAGCCTCTGAGCATGCCCAGAGTGCCTTCTCCCTCACAGCTGCAGCTGAGGGTGCTGAAGCCAGACTTCTCAGCAGGGGGATTCAGCTGCACCCCTTTCTCACTTGGGGGCTGGTAAGCCACCAAACAGCAGCCCCACATAGAGATGGGAGGCTCCTTTTGAGCCGCTTTCGGTATCAGACTTTCCACACTCCGGAGGCAGGATCCTGGCCCAGTTGGGCCTCCGACGGCGCCGGCCTCCGAAGAGAAGATGCTGCTGGGCTCCCGACGCGGGGACAGCCTTGCGCCGGACGCATGGAAGCCGTTCGCCCGCCGCCCCCCTCCCCCTTGTTGACAGAGGAGGGGCACGTCGGAGGAGCTTCAAGGGGTTTCTGCTTGGGAAGGGAGGCTCGACTCGGGTGGGGTCGCGGGGAGACCAGCTGAGAAGAGGACCCTGTGTGCGGGCAGGCCTGGGAGAAGCCCTTGCGCGACGCGACGGGAGCCCGGGAGCTGCTCCGGCTCCAGCAGCCGCTCTGAGGGCGCTCTCCTCCCACCCACCCTGCGGCCCCGCCCGCCCTCCTGCGCCCCACCTTTCATCTTGGGAGTTGGGGTGGGGGAAACCCACCGGCTGAGCAGGAGCCCTGGGAGGAGGGAGACCCGGCCCCCCCGGGCGGAGGAGGACGCCGCGAAAGCCGGCCCTGAACCAAAGGCGAGCCTTACCTGACGGGGCGCGGTGGGTCGCGGGAGCAGCCGGGATGCCCAGGAACGCGCCCGCCCTCCTGCGCCCCACCTTTCATCTTGGGAGTTGGGGTGGGGGAAACCCACCGGCTGAGCAGGAGCCCTGGGAGGAGGGAGACCCGGCCCCCCCGGGCGGAGGAGGACGCCGCGAAAGCCGGCCCTGAACCAAAGGCGAGCCTTACCTGACGGGGCGCGGTGGGTCGCGGGAGCAGCCGGGATGCCCAGGAACGCCAGCGGGGCAGAGCGCGCTTCTCCGCGGGCTGGGCGGCTGGCTCCTGCGGCGCCTCCTCCTGGGACCGCTTCGGCTGCCGGAGCTCCGGTTCAGCCGCTCCTTTTGCTCCCCCGGTATTTAAACGGCCCAAGCCAATGAATCAGCGCCGGGGGAGCTCGTCACGGGTCTCTGGAGTCACCCGCCTAGATCCGAGAAAGGAAGAGCCCGGGAAGGGGGGGGGAGCGTTTGCTGCGAAGGGTTGCGGGGCTGGACAGAGGCGGCCGCTCTGGATCCCACGCCTCGGCCGCCGCAGCGGGACCTCCCTCCCTCCCTCCCTCTTCGGAGCCCCATGGAAGCGGGAGGTGGGGTTAGGGGAGAGCCCTCTGGTTCTCTCGGCCGGCGGCTCAAGACCCGGGGTGGGCGCAGTTGCCACGCGCGGGCTTCCCCCCTCCCGGGGACCCCAGGAGGTCCATGTCACCCTGGCAGGGATGGGCTGGACAGGACTTGGGCCTTTCCCTTCCTTTCCTTTTTGCCCAGCCTTCCCAGAATGGCTAGAAGGCAAGGATGGGCTGCAGCACAAAAACCAGCCACCTCAGCTAGCGTTGGGTCTCCCCGAGGCTGGAGGATTGCAAGTTCCCAAAACGAGGTCACCACCCCCCTCAGACGCTCCTTTTGGGGATGGAAAGGTCCCTCCGATCTTCTTAGACCAAGAGTTGCCAGTCGTTAGGAATCTCAGTGGTGGGAGGGGGGGCATCGATCTACATCAAAATGCAAAGTCCTTTTTTTGCCTGAGGAAGGAGAAACGTCTGGAGGGCAGCCACTGGTCAGCAGCAGTAGAAGCAAAGAGTCATAGAATAAGGGAGTTGGAAAGGGGCCTTTAAGCCCATCCAGTCCAACCCCCTGCTCAAAGCAGGGACACAAATCGAAGAAGATCTGACAGAGGGTGGTCCAATATTTTGTTTGAAGGCCTCCAGCGTTGGAGCAGGCACCGCCTCCCCGTGAGGTCAGTGGCTCCATCGTCACACTGCTCTAACACTTAGGACGTTTTTCCTGATATTCAACCGATATCTGGCTTTCTGTGGCTCAAGTCCATTATTAGGTGTCCTGCCCTCTTGGCTGATGGGGAACAGAACCAGCGCCTCCTCTGTACGACAGCCTTTCAAGGATTTGAAGAGTGCTGTCCTATCTCACTTCTGCCTTCTTTTCTCAAGGCTAAACAGGCCCAGTTCTTTCAGCCTTTCCTCCTAGGGCGTAGTTTCCCTGATCCTCCTTGTTGCCCTCCTTTGAACTTGCTCCAGTTTGGTGGCATACTTTTTAAAGTGAAGAGTCCAGAACTGGACATAACACTCTAGATGAGGCCTGTTTTTGTTGTTTGTTGTTTAGTCGTTTAGTCATGTCCGACTCTTCGTGACCCCATGGACCAGAGCACGCCAGGCCGTCCTGTCTTCCACTGCCTCCCAGAGTTGGGCCACATTCATGTTGGTCGCTTCGATGACGCTGTGCAACCATCTCATCCTCTGTCATCCCCTTCTCCTCCTGCCCTCACACTTTCCCAACATCAGGGGCTTTTCCAAGGAGTCTTCTCTTCTCATTAGATGGCCAAAGTACTGGAGCCTCAGCTTCAGGATCTGTCCTTCCAGTGAGCACTTAGGGTTGATTTCCTTCAGAATGGATAGGTTTGTTCTCCTTGCAGTCCAGGGGATTCTCAAGAGTCTCCTCCAGCACCACAATTCAAAAACATCAATTCTTCAGCGGTCAGCCTTCTTTATGGTCCAGGAGGCACTTCCGTACATCACTACAGGCAAAACCATAGCTTTGACTATGCATACTTTTGTTGGCAAGGTGATGTGTCTGCTTTTTAAGATGCTGTCGAGGTTTGTCATCGCTTTCCTCCCAAGATGCAGGCATCTTTTAATTTTGGGGCTGTTGTCACCATCTGCAGTGATCATGGAGCCCAAGAAAGTAAAATCTGTCACTACCTCCATACCTTCCCCTTCTATTTCCCAGGAGGTGATGGGACCAGTGGCCATGATCTTAGTTTTTTTGATGTTGAGCTTCAGACCATTTGTTGCGCTCTCCTCTTTCACCCTCATTACAAGGTTCCTTAATTCCTCCTCACTTTCTGCCATCAGAGTGGTATCATCTGCATATCTGAGGTTGTTGATATTTCTTCCGGCAATCTTAATTCCAGTTTGGGATTCTTCCAGTCGGGCCTTTCGCATGAGGCATTCTGCATATAAGTTAAATAAGCAGGGAGACAATATACAGCCTTGTCGTACTCCTTTCCCAATTTTGAACCAATCCGTTTTTCTGTATCCAGTTCTAACTGTTGCTTCCTATCCCATGTATAGATGAGGCCTAACCAGTGCCAAATAGAGGGGAAATAGTACCCCTCATGATTTGAAGACTGTGCTTTTGTTAGTGCATCCTAAAATAGCATTTGACTTTTTTGCAGCTACTTCATCGTTTTGGCTCATATTCAGCTGATGATCAACAACATTCTCTCTGTATTCTCTCTGCCAAAATAAGACTAGGCACAGACTGTAGTAATACAACAGCAAAGCATAAAAAGAGCTCTAAAAGAATCCTAGTGCCAAAATATAATCTAAACAATATTTCTGATTAATTTATAGTTCACCTAGAGAAAGAGGTTGCATTATTAAACTCAATTGACCAAGAAGAACTTCAGAAAAAGATCAGTCTGTGCTTTATAGACCACAGCAACGCCTTTGACGCCTTTGACGTTGTAGATCATGAGCAACCAAGGGTTGTTCTGAAAAGAAATGGGTGTAGCCTCGACATTTGATTGTCCTGATGCAGAACTTGTATCGTGGATAAGAAACTACCATCAGGAGAGAACATGGAGAAACAGGAAGGTTTCCTATAAGGAAAGGCATCAGATAAGGATGCATTTTATCGCCCTGTCTGCTCAGTCTATAGACAGAACATATCATCTCTAAATCTGGTCTAGATTCAGATTAAACAGGAGTGAACATTGGTGGAAGTAATGTCAGTAATTTAAGATATGCAGGGGACACCCTCTTACTAGCAGAAAGCAGCAATGACTTGAAACAGCTTTTGGTGGAAATGAAAGAAGAAAGTGCCAAAGCAGGACTACAGTTAAGAACTACACAACTTTGAAGTTGACAAGGAAGAAACTGAAGTTACTAAAGGTTTTGTATACTTTGGTTCAGTCAGTACAAAAGCAGATGGCAGTCAATAAATCAGAAGTCTGAGACTAGAAAGGGCAGCAATGAAGGAGTTAGAAAGATCATCAAGGGCAAGGATGGGTCACTGGGGACTAACACCAAGATCATCTGTACTCTTACATTTCCAATCACCATGTACGGGTGTGGAAGCTGGACAGCGAAGAAAGCTGACAGGGGAAAACATTGATTTGTTCAAAAAGTGGTGCTGGGCGAAAGCTCTGCGGACAACCCTAGACTGCCAGAAAGACAAACAAGTGGGTCCCGGAGCAAATCAAGCCTGAACTCTCTCTGCAGATAAAAATTTGGAGGCAGAAGGTGCCCTCCTTTGCACACATCATGAGAAGGCAGGATTCTCTGGAAAAAGACAATCACGCTGGGAAAAGCTGAAGGCAGCAGGAAAAAGAGGAAGCCCGACTCTCTGAAAGAAGCCACAGGCTTGAATTTACAGGACCTCAGCAGGTCCTCCGGCAGGCAGGACATCCTGGGCGTCCCTCATTCACAGGGTCACCCTGAAGTCAGAGGCAACTTGGCAACAGGAGGTAAAAACAATAAGGGGGGAAAAAACCAAGTGTGTCCAAAATCAAATCGAGCCTGAACCCTCTTCTGAAGCAAAAAGGACCGAACGGTTGCTGTCCTACTTTTGGGGCACAAGGGGAAAAGACTGACTGGAAAAGACCATCGCGCTGGGAAAAGTGGACGGGGGGGCAGGGAAAGAGGAAGGCTGGACCTGAGAGGGATGGGCTCCATAAAGGAACCCCTGGCCTTGGATTGAAAAGACCTGAGCAAGGCCGTTCAGGACAAGAGCGCTCGGAGGCTCAGAGCATTCACTCATCGCACCACCGCATGTCAGGAGGGACTTGATGACACAGAACAGCAACGCAGAATCATGGGGACTGAGTGACTGGAAAGGTGGGGAAGGCAGGAGGAGGAGGAGATTCCCTCTTGTCCCCAGCATCCAAACTGCTTCCTTCCTGCCCAATCTCAGACAAGAGCAGAGACAGCAAATCTGTGCTCTTGACCTTAAAAGAGATCCAGGCGGGCGGCCAGGGACCCGTCTTGTGACAGCAAGTGGCACCCCTGACCTCGGGCACAGGGCGGAGGTTGGCTTTCTTTCCCTCTGCTCTGAATCACCCAGGCCTCGTCTTGCGCCAGAGAGAAAGTGGCCTCTTCCCCTTAGCCACTTCCTCTGCAACATGCCTTGAGATCCTGCCCTCCCCTGCCCTCCCCCAGGGGCTCTTCCGGTTGCCTTCCTGGGGAGCAAAACAACCCCCAAGCCTCTGTGACCTCGGCTTCCTTTTTTCTCCCTCTACTCCTGTGTTTTCACGGTACATACTACAGTCTATCCAAAAGGCCAAAGAAGACAGAGAGGCAGAGATAAAAAACACCTATTTCTAGTTTTGAAAAATTGATACTTGGGTGGGATTGCACAGTGAGGGGGGGTTGAAACAGCATTGAAGACCTCCTGAAAAGCTGAGTGGCGTGCACAGGCGGTGGGGGGGGGCTGACTCCAGGAGCAGGCGTTCCTGGCAGAGGGTGGCTGCTGCTGATGCTGTTGAACCAACCTACAGAGACCCTAAAAGGTTTTCAAAGTAAGTGAGAGATTAAAGGTGTGGTTTTACCAGTTCCAGCCACCACTACCCTGGCCAGTTTCCATGGCTGAGCAGGAATTTGAATCCAGGTCTCCTGATTCCTGGTCCATCACTCTTTCCATTGCAGCACCCTGGGCTAGAGTGGAGGGCTAGAGACCACCAAATCACCCTGCGGGGGGGGGGGCGTAAAAGCCAGCGCTGTGCATGGCCTGCCTTGGTTTTATCACTGCTGATAGGCTTGCTCAGGATTCTTTGGTGATGGCCTTCGTCAAAAGCATTTGGGAAGTCCAGATGAAAAGCCCCTACTGGGTCGCCCTTCTATGTGTCCCTGCCGACACTCTGAAGGGATTCCAAAAAAGGGTTTCTGGTACAGGACCTCTCTCTGCAGAAGCTGCGCCA